GGTTTACAGAGTCAGCATATTGCCCCCAACAACAATCTGGGTCCTCATTTTACCCACCTCGGAAGGATGGAAGGCTGAGTCAACCCTGAAGGGGGCGGTGGATTGAAAAAGTTTGGGAACCACTGCTCTGGTGTATTCAATACAATTCACATATTGTCTCTGATCTGTCTCTTGGGAAGAAATCAATTTTGGTCTATGTGTATAAATTCATTTAAAAGTCTCTTCATTCTTTCTGCCATTATTGATGCAGATTTTTATAATCCACATTTAATAGTGAAATAGGTCTGTAGTTCTTTACTTGTTGTGGATCTGACTCTTCTTTTAGTATAAGCATTATATATATGCCTCCGTCCATGTTTCTGGCATTTTTGCCTCTATTAATAAGTCTTTGAATAGTTCCAACATTAGTAGTGTTTGGTACATTCTGCCGGTAATCCATCTGGTCCTGGTTTTTCCCCTTCTTTTGCCTTTTGATGTCTTCTGCTACCTTCATCATTGCAATTCTTTCTTCTAGTACCTTCTCAAGTTTTTCTGGGATTTTGGTTATTCTAGTTTTCTCTAAATATTGTGTCAGTCCTGTAGTTATGTTCCTTTTAGGCTATTATTTCACTATGCTGTTTTATTAGTGTAGTAATTGGGAGGGGGGAATTGAAAGGAGTAGAATGGTGGAATGTCTTGTTGTCATTCTTTTATAGAAGCCCAAGGTCATCTTTTGTCTCAGCACCACTGCATCTGACCGGAACTAGATGGGTGGAAATGCCAGCATAGCTGAGAAGATTGGACCATGTGATGGATTTATGGGTATGGGGATAAGATCATGAACTTTCAACTGGGTGAAATCCTAGAAAGCTTTAGAATTGGGGTTTCCACAGATGTGTCAACATCTGTCTTATTAAATTGGGACTTTGATTAAAGTTTTGCCTTGGACTCTAATTTAATTCTACATGATATTTAGAACACTGACATATTGTCTTATTTTCCCTTCTGGAACTCTCTCATCCTGATACAACTTATTGTAGAAGTTCTTAATTATTGTTCTCTTTTTTTCATTTAAATGTTGTATATTCCCTTCTTCATCCACCAGTTAACTTAACAGCCTTTTTTCTCTTTCCTTTTTCATCTTGTAAGCCAGCCAACATCCTGATTTATTTGTGTTTTCAAATAAGTTTTATTTTGTTGATTTTATTTTATTTGCCAAGTCCTCATTTTCTATCAGGTTCAATTTATGTTTTTGCAGTTCCNTGTGATACAATTGTATAATAATAATAATAATAATAATAATAATAATACAGGCTGGATTGGGTAAAATAAGAATTGAAAAGGTTACTGAAAACAGAAGGAAAGAAACCTAAAAGAAAAGTGTTAAACATTACAAAACAAAAGGTATAATTTAACAGATTCAGCTATGTTCCTTTTTTCATTTTCAAGAACACCTATTGTCAGCTAATGCAAATCCTTTGCTCTTCCAATTTATAAGTAATTATTTGAATAATTTTGCTTCCAAAATTAGGTATTGTTTATGTGATAGTATTAAAGAAGGAGACATTGACTCACCAAGGCTTCTCCCCACCCCATCACACGAGGTTTCATTTACTTTCCCACCCCATCACACGAGGTTTCATTTACTTTCCCACCACGTTGCTCCATCCTGCATTCAGGCTCCATTCTCTCAATGATATGTGTGATTTTTGCAAAGAGGCCTTGAGAACCATCATGAGAACAAGAGAGAACAAAACCCTAGCAAAGCTGGCATTTTGAAAAGCTGTGATCATCAGCATTCACCATAGGATGCAAGTGAAAGAAAGAAAGAAGTGAATTCCAAGGGGAAAACATCTGAGAAACCTCCGACAGTTATGTACCTACCTTTAGAAGTACTAATCAGATTTGTATACAAGGCACCTTTATTGCTGAGGAGGGATTTAGGAACATTAAATACTGGCCAATGGCTTTCTGGAGATTTTTTCCTCCAGAAGGCTTTTGGGTGTTACCTATATATATAAGTATATGTGTGTGTATTTATGTCTATTTCTACATGTATATATATTTAATACTATTTTTATATTTTTCAGTGTAATTTTGATAATATTGTTTTAATAGCAATCCACTAAAATTATGTAAGCCTCAGAATAAATTGCATAAATAAATTATTATTATATTTATTGACATGAAATTATTTTACAGAACATGCACTTCAAAAATTAGTTAAGACAAAAAGACGCTTGACTATAGATTTAAAAGCAACTGTACATGATATCCAGAAGGCAGAACATGTTTTAGAAATGGCTCAGATTAAACGATCTGAAGGTATGACTTAAAATTTTTAAAACTTTATTTTATAATAATACTGCTTTATTACCATCTTTATCTATAATATTAATGTTAGAAGAAGTGTAAGTTAAGCACCTTTCTTGTTCTTGGATGAATAGTTTATAACCATTTGGAACAATGGCTTAAGGTATACTGTTTAATGATTTATCAGAATGAGTTAAGCTTAGAAGTGATCATTTACTAGGACAGTGATGGCGAACCTTTTTTGGCTCGTGTGCCAAAAGTGGGGGGGAGTGCAGGAAGGTCATGTGTGGGTATGCCACACCCATAATGCAATGCGTGACCCCCAGGGTGTATGCGCGCATGACAGACGCTCCCCCCATTTTTTGCATGTTTTTTTCTTCCTCCCCAAGCCCCAGAGGCTTTATAGGAGCCTGGGGAGGGTGAAAAGAGCCTTCCCCACCCCCAGATGCCCTCTGGAGGCTTCAGGCACTTCCCTGAAGCTTCCGGAGCACAAAAGACCCTATGGGAAAACTGGAAGTTTGGGAATGGACTACTGGTTTACTCGTAGGGCTGATTTAAGCTGTCTGGAGCCTTCAGGGGCCTTCCGGAGGCTTCCCTGAAGGCTCCAGAGGACAAAAAACGACCCTATGAGCAAACCAATTTGACTGTTGGGCCATTTTTAGTCCTCCACAGCCTTCGGGGAAGCCTCCAGAAGCCTCCTGAAGGCTCCAGAGGGCTTAAACCAGCCATATAACCAAACCGGAAGTCCATTCCCAAACTTCTGGTTTGCCCATAGGGTTGGTTTTTTGCACTCTGGAAGCTTCAGGGAAGCTCCTGAAGCCTCTGGAAGGCCTTTGGGGGGGGTGGGGGGCTCTTTTCGCCCTCCCCAGACTTGTATAAAGCCTTTGGAGCCTGGGGAGGGAGAAAAATGCCTCCCCCAAAAGGCTAAAGTCAGCTGGCCAGCCCGCGCATGCACGTTGGCCATCTGTACAGGGCGCCTCACGTGGCCTGAAAAATGGCTCCGCGTGCCACCTGTGGCACATGTGCCATAGGTTTGCCATTCCGGTACTAGGAAATACTTTTTCTCACTAATCATAAAAATCAATCAATTTCTGTAATTCACTCCTTCCTCATCTCTCGAAAAGTATATATAGTTATAAACCAATGAAGTGGGATCATATTAGACTCTAGTATCCTCTTTCCCACAGCTCTGTTTACAATGTTGACTTGTAAAAGAGAATACACATTCCTAGCTCACTGTACAGGTAATCCTCGATTTACAACAGTTCATTTAGTGATTGTTTGAAGTTACAGTAGCACTGAAAAAAATGGCTTATGAGTTTTTTCCACACTAACAAATGTTGCAACATCTTCTGCATTTTCATGTGATGAAAATTCAAATGCTTCGTAACTGGTTTATATTTATGACGGTTGCCCTGGAGTAATGAGATCACTTTTTGCAATCTTTGACAAACAAAGTCAATGTTGAAGTCAGATTCACTTAGCAACCATGTTACTAACTTAACAACTACAGTTGCATCCACTTAACAACTGTGGCAAGAAAAGTAGTAAAATGGGACAAAATTCAGTTAACAAATGCCTCACTTAGCAACAGAAATTTTGGGGTCAATTGTAAGCCATACGTCAAGGACTATTTGTATTATTCTTATACTCTGTAGGTTTTTTAAAATATATATTGAAGCATTTGGCAGTCTTTAAAAATTAAAATAATAACAAAGAACTTTTACAGTCATCAAACTGTTCATGCTGCAATCATGACTAAACTTTATAGATGGCCTATATATTCTTCCTCTTGTTCAGAAGCATCCTACAAATGCATTTTAATTCCTATTTCTAAAGCACTTCAAGCTGTTAACTTATATCTTTTTTTTGTATTTATAACTTATTTTATTATGAAATTGGAGACTTTGACTGTCATAGAAATTTTTTTTAAAGTTGCTTAACACTGCAATACATATTTGATATGATGAAGAATATGCAGTTTTGCAGAAGGAAAGTTTGATAGCCAACCTGACTCCCCATTCTTAATTTAAAATAAACTTTTAAAAATGTCATTGTTCATTTCACTTCAAATAATATCAATACTGTTATATTTTTATAAGCATGTTTCAATTCTCAATCTTCCTTTGGAAATATACTAAAACAGCATTTCTAGCACAATATGAATTGTTGGAATAATGAGCCTGTCCTGTCCATAAAATTTTGGGTTTTTTTCCCCATGTAGGTGACTAATTCATAGGTGGCAATCAAACCCCTTACATCCTGGACCTAAATTGTTTCAATTTCTACCTTCAAAATTATGCTATAGGACTCTGTAAATTAGAACAAGAAGACACAAGTTTTCCCCCAAATGCCATTACTCTGCTAAACAACTAATCCCTACAACACTGTCAAATTATCTACTAAGACTGTATTACTATTATTCTTTTCTTCCTTCCTAGTACCTATCTCTTTCAACTTATGGCTATATACATGTTGCTTGTATCTTTACAACTGATATTGTTTTTATTGTTTCCTAGTATGATTTGATTGCTTATTAATATTCTATGACTATCGCTAAGTGTTATAATGATTCTTGAAGAATATATTTTATTTTTTCTTTATGTACACTGAGAGCATATGCACCAAAGACAAACTCCTTGTGTGGCCAATCACACTTGGCCAATAAAGAATTCAATTCTGTTCTGTTCTGTTCTGTTCTGTTCTAGTCCAGTCCAGTCCAGTCCACTCTATTCCTATTCCATCCCATCCCATCCCATTCTATTTCCTAAAAACCAGTTGTAATGGTTAAGCCACAGGATTAAAAAGCAGGAGACAAAAGTTTATGTCCTGCCTTAACCATAAAAGCTGACTGGATGAATTTGGGCCAGGGACTCTCTTTCAATCCAACTCACTTCATAGGGTTGTTGTTGTGGGGAAAATAGGAGGAAGAAGATGTGTTGGATATGTTTGCCACCTTGAATTATTTGTAAAAATAATAAAGGTGGGATACAAATCAGTAAAATAAAAATTTAAAATGCGTTTCACCACACAAAACTCAGTGAAAGCAAATTCAAGCAGATTTGAAGCCATCATGTCTTTGTTGTGAGAATTATCATTTTATACCTTTGGTCTGCTACCCGTATTTACCTAATGTGTATGTTGTTCAGCTTGGGCAGAGGAGGTTGTGCGACAGAGAGGTCTGCAGAATGTATTCTAAATCTCTCTTGAAAAAATTAATGACTATTATAGTATATTAGTATTTTTTTGACCAAGGTTATTAGTCATCCAAAATAATTTCATTTAGTTTGTTTTGTTTTATTTTATTGAATGGGCTCTACAATAATACTTAGCATCATATGAAATAATCCAGTTTTTGAAACCAATTGTTCATGTTATGTGATTTTATAAATAATGAGAATATTTTAAAATATTTTTAAAGAAATGATTCAAAAAGAGAGATCACTGAATCACCTACTTAAAAAAAAGGAGTTACTACAGAAACGTTTGCATTCCAACTGGACAGAACTGGAAGATGTTCAGGCTCTTATGGCTGCCAAACCCGGATATATCAAGGGTAGGTAAACTATAATTTCTGATATTTGTAGTGCTAGATATAGCAATAGCACTTAGACTTCACCGGGCTTTACAGCCATCTCTAAGCAGTTTACAAAGTCAACATATTGCCCCCAACAATCTGGGTCCTCATTTTACCCACCTCAGAAGGATGGAAGGCTGAGTCATCCTTGAGCCTAGTGAGATTTGAACTGCCAAATTGCAGACATCTAGCAGTTAGCAGAAATAGCTTGCAGTACTGCACTCTAACCACTGCGCTACCATGGCTCCTATGTATGAAGTTTGAAGTAAGTTTCTTCGCCTCAGTTGAATTTGTAATTAAGATGAAACAGTATTTTCTGAGCTGTAAGCAAGACTTCTCATATTTTCTGTCCCTCATGAAAAGAAAGGAGCAAGAAAAGTTTTTACTTTAGATTTTATTCATAGTAGTTGGTACAACCAGGTTGAAGCTTATATCTTTCCAGCTCTTCTGTGACTTGGTTAAATAGAAGTATTTAAACATCATCATTCTAATTGTAAACTGTAACAGCTTGTTGTACAGGTGAAATTACAGGTCTGCAAAAAAAAAATTTTCGAGAGCTCTTTTGGTTATTCCACATAATCTTTATGTTTTTTGGTGCGCTGAATCCAAAAATGACCTCCATTTTGTCATAGGACATCATGTTTCCTGACAATTTAGGTAACATGTTAAATAAGGCAATACCTCAAAAATAAATAGAAATAGACATATAAAATTAAAGTTTTATTACAATATTTTCATGAAAATCCTTTTTTGAACTGAAATGAGCTCACCTACACACACTAAACTTGATTCTTCTTCCTTGTGAAGCTTCTCTTGGTGCATTTACGCTCGTGAGTAGCATCTGGAATGTCTCTCTGAAGCATCCAACAGTAGTCTGCCATCATTGTAATGCTCCATTTTCCCTGGTATCTCCTTTCCATCTCTTTAATGTCTTGGTGGAATCGTTCACCTTGTTCTCCAGTGCACTGCTCAGAGAGTCCAAATGCTGGGTTAACACAGCCTATCTGCCCTTGGACTGAGTGATGTTTTTGTTGACCACGCCTCCCTTTGCCTCTGCATGCTCAGTTCAAAAACTCAGTCAGCCCGTTAGGACTGTTTTTGGGAGAGCTCCAGTCTAAGGTCAGATAGGCTGGAAAAAGTTTCCCACTTTGGACCACGTTTGGATTCTCATTTCAGAGAAAATTATATTGACTACAAGATCTGTCAAAGATTTGAGGTTTGTGTCGCTTTAAGAGGGCACCCGGGCTTCCCTGCAGCTGCTGGTCGCAAGCGCTCCAGGGGTCTGTAATCCCTCATCCAGCGGAGGCTGGTGAGAGGCAGAAGCGGCAAGGGCGGTGGCAGACCTTCCCCAACAGAGCCCCAGAGAGAAATTCCCTCAAACGGAGGTCTGGGAGCCTGCAGGCCTTCTATCTAGGGGCCATTCAGCCGCTCGATTCTGCCCGGCAACAGCGACAACAGTTGGAGCCTTCACGCGCTTTTCAGGCTGTCAGGCAAAAAAGAGCGGGAGGAGGCTGTGTGCGCAGCCGCCGCCATTTTGGATCGCTTCGCAGCGCATTGAGGAGAAGGACAACACGCGGCTCATGTGGAGAGCTGATTCCTCCAGCCTTGCATTTAAAGTCAGCAGGAGAAGCGGAGAGCCGAAGCAGCATCAACGAAGCCTCAGCCAGCCCTCAGCGACTGCAGAACGCCGCAAGGAGGCCGGAGATTAGCCTGGGGAGCCAGCTAGTCTCTCCCTCCTATTTGCAAGCTAAGTCTCGGGGAACCGAGGGCGGTGGGAGGAAGGAATCCGACCCCCAGGCAGCCCTTCCCTCCTGAAGATTCTGCGAGCGCATTTGGACCTCAAAGGCCAGCGCGTGCCCATCCCAGCTCCAGCTATTTTCCAGGCCTTGTGGGGACCTGAAATGGCTGAAGAATGCAGGGAGGCCTTAGGGGAACAGGCAGGGCCCTCCAGCAAACACAGTAAGCTGGATCCCTCTGTAAAGAAAGGCAAAGTGCACACGGGCTCACTTGAAAGGTCTTCACCAAGAGCCTCAGTGGATCCCAGGGAGGTTTCAAGGCCCCATCAGCCAGAACCTAGCCCAGACCATCGCAGCAGGGAGTCAGCTTCCCCTGATCGTGAGGCCCAATCCCCTGGGGACAGTGAATTCTTGTCTGGGGATAACTATATATCCAGGGATCCATCTCCTGAAGCGTCTTGGGTGTACCCCGACTCCCCTAGCTCCTCCATTGGAGAGGAACGAGATTCTGTCCAGAATTCCCTGTGTGGGAAGGGTGAATCCAGCCCAGGCAGGCCTAGCCATCGCAGGCCCAGTAAGCAGAAAATAAAAAGGGGAAAAAGCCCTGCTCTTTCTGAGGAGATGAGGGAGGTTATTTCCTTAGCCATTTCCCAAGGGATAGCTGAAGGCATTAAGCACAGGGGCTCTCGCAAGAGCAAGGCCCCGAAGGAAAAACGCAAACCTAAGGCCTCCCCCTCTAGGGAGCCTGTATCCTCCTCCCCATCTTCTAGCCCCTCTCACTCTTGGCTTTCAAGTTCTGAGCAGGAAGAAGGGGAAATTTTCGTGGTTTCTGAAGATGAAAACCCTACCCCTGACAAACCAAAATTCACTGGCCTGTTTCAGCCGTCATTATTCAAATCTATCTTGCACAAAGCCATGACGGCCACAGAGTTAGGCCCCACTTCCAGACCTGAGACCTCTCAAGCTTCCACTTCCAGGGATCATAAACACGGTTTA